CCCACCAACACCCCCGCCGGCGGGAAGTGGCGTTTCTGGCACTTCTTCAAGGTGACTCAATGGGAGCGGAATTTCACAGGACAAAGAGGAGACATTTCTCGAAGCCTCAGGGGCTTTCCAGACCATATGCCTGAGACTGGCAGCAAACAGCAGAGGCAGCAACATTTCTTCAAGAAGAACCCCTGTTATCAATACAGGCTGGGGGATGAAGGGATTGAGAGCAGCCCTTGCCGAGAAGGACTTGGGAGTACTTGTAGATGAAAAGCTGGACGTGATCCAGCAACGTGCACCCGCAGCCCAGAAATCCAACCTTATCCTGGGCTGCATCCAAAGCAGTGTGACCAGCAGGTTGAGGGAGGGGATTCCCCCCCTCTACCCCGCTCTGGTGAGACCCCCCCTGCAGTACTGGAGCCCCCAACACAAGAAGGACATGGACCTGTTGGAGCGAGTCCAGAGGAGGCCACGAAGATGATCAGAGGGCTGGAGCACCTCTCCTGTGAAGACAGGCTGAGAGAGTTGGGGTTGTTCAGCCTGGAGAAGAGAAGGATCCAGGGAGACCTTAGAGCACCCTTCAGTACCTAAAGAGGTGTTATAAGAAAGATGGGGACAGTAGTAGGGCCTGTTGTGATAGGACGAAGGGTAATGGTTTTAAACTAAAAGAGGGTAGATTCAGACTAGATATAATGAAGACTACTTTTTTGATGAGGGTGGTGAAACGCTGGCACAGCTTGCCCAAAGAGGTGGTAGATGCCTCATCCCTGGAAACCTTTAAGGCCAGATTGGATGGGGCTCTGAGCAACCTATCTAGTTGAAGATGTCCCTGCTCACTGCAGGGGGGGTTGGACTAGATGACCTTTAAAGGAACCTTCCAACCCAAACCATTAAAAAGAAAAAAAAAAGTAGTTCTGCAGCAGTCTGTGGAGGAGAGCATTAGGTGGCCTATATGTAGGGTCACTACCAGCTCCATCAGAAAATTAACACATTGCATTTTGACTAAAAATAACATCTTTTTGGGCAGTATCTGTCCTCTGGCAAGTGCAGAGCAGGTCTGTCTCATCAGGACTGTTGTCATTCTCCTCTTGTAGGGACAACAGGGTTGCAGGCACTTCTGTGGCAGGACTAACGTGGCAGATGAGCCCTCTTGTCACCTGGAGCATCCCACTACAGACACCGCATCCATAACACTCATCAGACTCCTCCTCCTTTGCCTCGCCACACGTCTTACCATTCAGAGAGGTTACTGAGCTGGGCTCTGCATGGTCGCTTGTTCATTTGGCTGTCATTAGCCTCCCAGGAACAGAGAAATGTTCCTACCGAAAAGTGCGTGAGCTTGTTAATGTCAGTGCTGCCCTCCACATTGGTCTCCTTTGATCAGAAAAGTAAATTTACGCTTGTGAGAGCAATGAGGCTCAGCAGGCTGCCCCCAGTCCACCTCTCTGCCTTTAAAATGCTATTGAAAATACTCTCATCTAAGGTGTTTCCTGCTTACAGGGCATAATTATGAGTTGTGTTCTTATATGACCAAAATCTTTGATCCTGACAGAATTCAGTCTTTAGTTTAACACAGTTTTAGTTGTTTGTCTTATTTTTATCTCTACAGTCCTTTGAGTCCTACCTCCACTGGGAAATGATGTGCTGACTAAACACATTTAGTATTATCTTACAGATTCTCTTAAGGCTGAAAATCCTTGCAGTTGAGCTTGGGTCTCAGATAAACTCTCTGCAGGGTGAAATTTAATGTGGCCTCAGGGGTTGCCCATGCATCAGGGACTTGGCAGCGCAGCGGAGATACCCTGCCTGATGTGGTCTCCTACAGCAAAGCAGGGTGGTTTATTGGGGCAGTCATGGTGAGCCAGGGCATTGCCAGAGCTACTGATCAAAGGCTGGACCACAGTTCCCTGGGCTGTTACAAATGGGTTTTGCTGGCAATGTGTTAGGTCCTCCAAGCCCCAATGACTGGCTTTGGTGGCTTTGTCCCATCTTAGCTTTTACTAATGATAAAAGAAGGTTCTAACAGATAGCTGTATGGTTAACAGAAGGAGCAAGCTATCTTCTGCATCTGTGCAACTCCTTGAAGGTGGTGGCCTTATAATTAGAAATCCTGGTGTTGTACAGTGCTCCTGGGGCTGTGCAGATTTCTGTTTGTTCAAACAGTCTTCCATGCAGTGCAAGTAACATGGCAAAACAACACAGGATACTCTTCCTAGGATCATCTTGTAAAGGAACGCTTAAATCACTTGTTTGCAAGTTCTCAAAGGAATACTATCAATTTGAGGTGAACGCTTGTAAAAGGTAATAAATAGCCATGCAATGGTGACATAGATGACTTTCAATGTTATTTTAAGTTAATGCGAACACAGGTTTCAGCTGTTACGTCTGCACGCTGAAAGAATAGACCTTGATCCAGTACTAAGGTGTGCACAGCACTCTGCTTGTTGATGTGTCTTTGCTGCCCTGCAGTGATGGTCACTGCTAGCAAGTTTTTCTTGCCTGTAAAGGACAGGAAATCATAATGAAGTTATGGTAGCAAATCCGTGTCTGTTAAGTGAACAGTGTTTTCGTATTGCAGTTAAAATATTTGTAAGGGAAGCTACTTGGACTGAAAAATGTGAAATCTGAAACTTAGGGCATTTAAAAGGTGGCAGCTAAAGCCAAACATATAGTGAACAAAAATCGCAAATGCTTAGGATGTCTGGAAATTCCTCAGTTATAGCTCTTGAACCAGGCAAGGTCTCTTCCGAGCTCAGGATATTGTATGTGGGACTTTTGTGAGCCTGAGCATTTCCAAATACCTGCTCCGCAGGTCTTTCGGGAGCATCAGTAATGTTGAAAGCTTACTTCAAAAGGCAAAAATCTCAACTTTTTTTATGTGGCGCTTGTTTTCATTTTTTTTCCCCATAGCTGCTAATTTTTCATAGGCCATAGCTGAGCCATACCCCCTTCTCTTGGTTTTATTACTAGAGTCCAGCTAAGAGTCTTCAACTTTTGAAACGTTGAGCTAGGAGGAAACCATTCTAAAGCAAGGCTTGGCACATGTACAGATAAACCAAAAAGCATCAGCTTTTTTCCAGTAGCAAGGTTCTAGCTGGAACTCAGTATCTCTGTGAACTTGCAGTGCAGCAAAAGGGAACAACATGCCAAAAGGCTCTTGCAGATTGTGACCAAGGTGCTTGGGGGTCAGGCTGGAGTTAGGACACTTCAGGGCATCTCCTGTAATAGACAGCAGTGATTTTTCCTGCAAGTCTCGAGCAGTTGGGTGAAGCAGTGTCCCCAGGGTGCCTGTGTCGCATGTGCTGGCAGGGCAGTGCCGCAGCCGGCGACGGCCGGTGCATGCAGCCCGTGGGCTGCGTTCCCGGTGCGGGAAGGGTTCAGATGGCAAAACACTCTCCATGTGCTGCCCTGCTGCCTCCCGCCTCTGCCGTGCCCTAACGCATGCCATTGCCTGTTGGGATGCAGTGAGGTGGAGAGGTGCCTCCAGCTTCACTGCGTTTCTGCACGGTTCTGTCATGTGGAATTGTTTCCAGATCTCAGCTCCTGATAGTTTTGTGTTTGTGTTTTTTTTTTTTTAAGTATTATTCATCAGGCTTCAGGTTACACAGAGGTTACACAGAGGAACAACCTGCCTGTCACTGAGCAGCCCAGGCTGTGGGCAACTGCCCCTTTCTTTGCCAGGGCTCATTAATGACAACATCTAGTGCTGCTGAATGAGATACAGGTAAGGTACGTAACTGCAGGGCAGTGTTCATATCTCATACAGTGCTGGAAATCCAGCTGTCCGTCTGCCACAGTCTCTGGTGCTCCCTGGATAACTTCAGTACAAAATTCTTCAATTCTCTGGGCATCTGCAATGAACAAAGAAATGGGCAGTCCATGCTACATTAAACCCTGCTCGGGATATTTACAGACTTTAGTATAAACGGAAGTATTCCTGTATGTAAACCCTGTGGTTTAGGAATATCCCTCCTATCTCTTCACCAGATAGAATCTTGCTGGTAATTATTTCCATGTAAAGAGGAAAGGCCCTGAAAAGAGACTTCAGGCATAAAAGGCTGTTGGGAGCTCCAGCTTCGCTTGTCTGGCCTAATTCTAGTTAGCTACTCAGCATAGCTCTGCTAGGGATGCAAAGTCCCAAAGAAATCTGAAGATAGCAGGAGAGTCACAAAGTAGGACTTTTTCGGAGGACAGAAAAAACCCAGGGGTGCAAGAACAAGGAGCAGAGAGTCTGGTGTAGCAGGGATGGCAACCAGGCAAAGCTGGGCTTCTTCCTGACTCAGTATACCACTTTGACTTTTTCAGAAGAGCTCCAACTCTTAAACAGCCTGAGAACAAATAAACATAATCCTGGCACTTCTATCACCCATGCTAGAAAAGCCATACTATGCAATGGTGACTAGCCAGCACAGTGCAAAAATCTCTTTTGTAGGGCAGCTTTATTTAACTTTTGAAAAAATAAGGTCAGAAATTTAGGCCAGTTAGTATGAGCAAAGCTCAGCAGGTTCACATCTCCCCTATGCAACCAGATCTCTAATTACTATTTGCATATTTTAAACACTTTATGCAGTCCTTTGAAATACGATTTTTCTTTACCTAGAATCTTGTATGCTGTTTCTCAGATTTTTTAGCATTTAAAAGCTGCATGTGTTTTCTGTCTTAATTTGTAATTCTCTCCCTACTTCATCTTCAATAAAATATTTGAGTAAATTTTCCCTTGCAGTTGGAATTACGGGTTGTGAGTTCAGTAAGTTGCCAGGGTTAGGAAACTGTAATCAGCTCTTTAATTATATCGATTAAGCACCAAACTTTAGATGCGTGTTTCGTGGGTATGCAGTTTGTTACATTTGTAGACGTGCTTTGTCTAAGGCCTGTGTTTTATTCTTTGACAACCAAGACATATGCCTGTTAAACTGAAGTAAGACTTGCTGTTTTGGAGATACTACTGATTCTAATGCCTTAATTTGTTTTGCTTGTTTCTAATGTATCATTTTATTTTGTTTACACAGAGACTTTGCTTATGTGGCAAGAGACAAAGACACAAGAATTCTGAAATGTCATGTGTTTCGATGTGATACACCCGCAAAAGCCATCGCCACAAGTTTACACGAAATCTGCTCAAAGGTAAGTGGATTTAAAGTCAGCTGTGTTCATCTGTTTAGAGGTCCCTGAGCCTAATACATGCAATCAGCAATTGTATGCAGCGTTAGTTTAGTTTATATCACTGGCAATGAGAAACAGTGTAGAGAATTTGTAAAAGAAAGGACACAAACGGATGAGAGTAACGGGAGGGTGAACATTTAGATTTTAGGAGGATGGTGTGTGCTTTTGATTTGACAAGTGTGTATAGAGACTGAAGGTCTTCTTGAATAATAAAGAAGCTGCAGGTTCAAAATGGAAAAAGAACACACAGCTTCAATTAATAATAAATGGCTATGTTAAACTGTGTAAATAAATCAGACCTTTTTTGAATGGTGTTATTCCATGGTATTATCCTGCAGGACAGACAGGAAAATAGTTGCTAACATTACTCTGCCCACTTAAAAAAAAATCCCGGAGAAGGCGGCGTTTAAGCTATTCAGGTACAAATACTAAAGGATCTTAGTTCTTGCTTTGGTAGTGTTGTCTGTCGTACTGGAGAGGACTGTTCTTTTCAGTCATTCTGCCTTACAGATTTGCCACCATTCCCTGCTTATTAATTTTGGTTTTCTTGCATGATCAGTTTTTGAGTGTCCTCTGTACGATCATTTCATGCAGCAGTAGCAAGGCAGCACATCCTTTACAGCAGGCAAATCTGATTGAAACACTTTATAGACAGGCAGTTAAACCAAGCTACTTGAAACTCTTTATTCTTTTATTGAGCTGTGGTGGATTTGAGGCTGCATCCCCTTTTTTAAAAATATTATGCTGCTCATTTTGGTTTTCCTTAAAATATGTCAGTTTGCACGGTAGGAAAAGTAGCCTGTGGGGATGAATAACCTCATCAGTTATCCCTGTGTAGCTTGTCCCTCCTCATGAGTCACAGCTCTTCTAGAAAAGCTAGTTAGGAAACCTTCAGGTTTTAAAATTCTGCTGAGTTACTGTATGCCTGACATTTCCTTTTTACATTTTGTCTCCACGTTAATGAATGGAATCAGTGATGTCAAATTCCCCTCTGTAGCCAGCTGTATAGTTTAAAAATTTTTCATTTTTGCAACACTGCAGATGTGGCTACTGAACCTGTGATGTTTCATGCAAACGACGTGAGCATTTACACAGGGTGCATTACTGTAACCTTCTGGGCAGCAGTTTTACGTGGGGCCGAGGCAGAAGGTAGCTCAGTGACTGTGCAAGGCCTGGCAGGTCTGTCCGGGCTTGGGTGCCTGAGGAGATGCAGGTGGGAGGGTTTGGGGAGCTGCTCAGGTTGGCCAGGGAGCTGCAGGCTGTGCTTGGTGAAGTTTAACATCAGGGACCGCAGCAGTAGCTGACTGGAGAAGCCTAGACCTGTTGTGTTCCTCCTCTTCTCCTCCAGCTCTCATTTCTCACAGATGTTTCTGGCAAGTCTAGCAGGGAAAAACGTGCTACACAGACCCTGCCACAGCTGCTTTTATCCAGTACGGTTAGCACCAAGTAAATGCCACGGTAGCTATACACAAGGGTATTGGAAAGGGAGTAGAGCTGTACCGTATGTAACTATGACATGAAACTCCTGGCATTAACTTTGGGTAAGAGAGCAACTAAGCATTTAAAACCATAGCTGATAGTTACACAGAATAAAACAGGGTAGTGTTGTTAAGTAGAGCACGTTCCTTCCTAATTCAGCAATAGACGTAATCCTCATTCAGGGGAGCACTTGGTATGTGCTGACCAACCCATGGGACCTCTTTGCTGAGACAGGGCTTCTTAAGCTAGCATGTATCATTTTTCATCTGCAGGGGAGAATATTATCATGTGTCCCTGTAAGAGAAAATACTTTCAAAATATAAAACCTGAAAAAAAAGGGAGAGAGAAATTTGGTAGAAGCATCTTCAGACCAAGCATCATCTGCTGGAATACCAGTTATCTTTATAGCTTAATTACAACTAACAGTCATAGTGTAACGAAGCAGATAGCAAGGCTTCATATATGAGCTTTGGAAAACCTCTGTTAGCTTCCCTGGGTCCCTTCTCAGTCATATGTATGTAGGGAATAATCATCCAAAGTGGTTATTTTGAAATTATTTTTTCCCCCCCTCTTTTGCTAATATTATACATTTGAGGGGAAGAACAGGTTGTACTTTGCATGGGATTTTTAATTCAAGAAGAAACATAAAAATGGAGGAAAAAATTATACACAGCAGTAGATCATAGAGGAACATGAATAATGAACATTGTTCTCTCTGTGTTAAATATTTGTATTTCTTGCTATATTATGCCTCACTGCAATTTTGCTGTTGATAAAAATGGCTAGATTTATTTTACTCCTCCATCTATCTTTCATCTAGGCTTGGACACCACTTAAGTTCTTTATGTAGTTAAGGAATGGTGACTAAACTGCAGGAAAATTAAAGTTGTTATTTAAAAAGAATAACCTGTTTAGTCATGTAGCTTCTGACTTATTTCAGATTTGAGAACCTAGGGTTGTAATAGGACTATGTTTATATTTCTAGTTGCTAGTGTACTTTTCTTTTTTTTTTTTAAATGCTGTATTATCATTATCCTCTTCAGATTATGGCCGAACGGAAGAATGCTAAAGCTATGGCTTGCAGCTCATTGCAAGAGAGGACAAATGTCACCCTTGATGTTCCTCTGCAAGGTACTGTGTGTCATAGCAGCATCCTTGGGATGGTCCTATTTTAGATATGTTTTGTTTCTGATGCTGCTTTTGACCAAAATGGAGCATGTTGGGTGGAGAAGTCAGGAGCGTAATCCTGTCTTTTAATTACTGTGTCTGACTGTAACCTGTTACTATATTACATTAAAGATTTTTAGTGGTTACGTTGACAGTAATGAAGTCCTGCTCAGTTATGTCAACTTGCACATTTCCTCTTTTGGAACACAGATTATGCAAACGCAGTCTTACTTATTTGTGGCTACGTGCACGTATTGTCTTTTTCAAATCAAAATACCTCCTGACTTGAGATTGCACAAATTGGCCTGGTCTTGCTTAAAAACACAATATACGCCAGTTATAACTTGGGTTCAGAGGAGCTGCAGGAGGACTCCTCCTAGGTTTCAGCATCTATTTTAGCAGCTCCCAAGGCAAGGGGTGCAAGTGGGCTGTCATCCAACGTAAGGGTCTTCTGCATGCCTTGCTGCATGGTAGAAGAAAGTTGCCTTTGCGTGCCTTTATTAGTCATAGCTTAATACTTGCTATTTTGAAAGTATTCCAGGAGAACAAACGTACTTTGTGTTAGCTTTACAGGAAATTATATGCTTCTAGATCCACCGGTTTATACCGAGTATCTTACTCCTAATCCATACATCAACTTGTGTAATTGTCTGCTCAGGCAGTAGTATTGATGACTTGTAGACTGTGTTTAACATATTTCAAGGATGGTATTAAAAACAGATTCCAGATTTTACATAGTTACACAGTGAAACTTAGGTCTGTATGTCTCATGCTGTTTTTTAATATGCTAGCAATATAACGTGACCTTATTCTTAGCGTAGATCAAGAATTAGGTGATGCAAAGTTATCCCTAATTCCTTTAGAAATTTTTGAGCATTGTTCATGTCAGAAGGAGTAAAAATTTGTTTTAATCAAGCCAGTACCTTCAGAGTACAATTACTGGGTAAACTGTTTTATGTTATTGATAAAATAAAATGGTTTTCCCTGCTCTGAATGCTGATTAACAGAACTTGATTTTTGTTCCCATGCAGTAGATTTCCCAACACCAAAGACAGAACTGGTACAGAAGTTCCACGTCCAGTACCTGGGCATGCTACCTGTAGCTAAACCTGTGGGTATGTAGCACTCAAGTGACTCCCAAAGTACCTTGCATAAACTCTAAGGGCTGGACTCTGTCTAGCCAAGTGTAAATGCCTGATTTTCGAAAGGCAGCAACTCCTGTACTTCAGTCATACGGGTCAGGCATGAAGACATCCAATATTCAAGGCTTCACTTGAACATGTGTTTTGCAACCGGAGTATTTTGGGAGCTGCCAAGAAGGTGGAGTTTCTTTCTACTGCTTTCTCTGAATATGAGCTCTGCTACTAATGAGAGGGCCCTAGAGAGCTGAAATGGTGCAGCAGCTAAACAAGACACTGTCCTAGTTTTTCTAAGCCAGAGGCACCCATTTTGGTTTTGCAGTTGAAGAAAACCAACTTCACAACCCTTCCTTCCATCATCAAATTGATTTTAATAAGGAGTCCAAAACAATCTGTTTTTTGTACTACTATGTGAAAATAAAAATTGTTATTGTTTACTTGTACTCATGTATTTATTTTTCATTATTGCATTTTTTTCTTTTTTAGGAATGGATACTCTGAACAGTGCCATTGAAAGTCTAATGGCTTCCTCTAGCAAAGACGACTGGATGCCAGTCACCATGAATGTTGCCGATGCTACTGTCACAGTCATCAACGAAAGAGTAAGGCAGACTGTCTTGTTTAAAACCTATTTAATGTAACATGAGTGTTGAAAACCAGGAACACAGAAACAATAGTAGAAAGAGTTAATTTACACTAGAATTCATTTGCTTATTTTGCATTTTAGTTCTTTCTAGAATCTGCAGAGGCTCTTACTGCTCGTAGCAGCTTCACCTTTATTTACCATTCCAAGCATGTTCTCAGAAATAAAATAAGTATTCCTTAGATAGTTAAATTCAGTGTTATCCTTTCTAGGAATGTTGAACCTAAAATGTTGTCAGTTAAGCCCTAAGTAGCAATGCTAAATTCTAAACTGTATTTACCTTATTCTTGGTATGGAAGCCAAGAGTAGTATTAAAATCTGTGTTTCACATCACTGTCCTTTTGTAGAGCGTTTTCCATAGAGATTAATACAATGAAACTTTCAAAGAATGTCTTTTATATATGTCTGTTGTTGAGGTACTAAACCAACATCTGTATAAGATACCAGCGATAGGGGAGCATGTTTTGGAGTCATCATAGCCATGTTCTTTTCTTTCTGCACAAAACAAGCAGTTTTTGAAATGGTCAGTGCTAACATTCAAAGCCTTGGTCTTCTGGCGATAGCCTAGAAGGGGGAGATCCAGCCCAGGCCTGAGCACACCGGATACATGCAGATGGATAAAAAAAGGAATTCCACCATGCCGCATCAGTGTCCCCTCCGTTTAATCAACTTAAAATGGAAAGTACAGTTCCACAGAGTTTCCACTAGTAATGGTCAATCATTTGATTCATAACCAGAATGAAGAGGAAATCATGGTGGAGTGTCGTGTGCGGTTCCTGTCCTTCATGGGAGTAGGCAAGGACGTTCACACATTCGCCTTCATTATGGATACAGGAAACCAGCATTTTGAGTGCCACGTTTTTTGGTGTGAACCAAATGCGGGCAATGTATCGGAAGCTGTTCAGGCTGCTTGTATGGTAAGTGACCTTCTTCAAAGGCACCTAACAGCGCTTAGATTCTTCACTGCCTCCATAAATAATCATCTTTCCCAATTTGCAATTATATTACTTTCAAGACAGAAAAAGAAAGAACAGATAAAAATAGGAATTGGGATTCTGATATATTTAATAAATTAAAATCCAAACATTTTTAAGTTTGAAATGTCACTTTAGTGAACGATGCCCCTTGAATCATCTTCCCTCCTAACCTCTGCAACATTTGTGTAAGTTAGAAATCTTTTCTTTCACTACACAAGTTACCTAATGCTGGAAAATATTTTGCTCAGAGTTGTGTTATACAATCCAGTGACACTGTAGTGAAAATAATCCCTGTTCAAGAATAGTGGAGCCGAGAAAACTTATTTTTCAGTTTTCAAAGGGCTGTTCGTATGATTTAGTATCCATCGTGTGCTAATGAACAGTTTCTGCCTACAGATTGACTAACCAATGTCCCATTACCTTCAGTTGGGCTGTTTGTCACGGCCAAAATGGAGGTTTGACTGTGTTTAATGAAAAAGTATTAAAAGTGTATTTAAAATGCTCTGTGAAAGTATTGGATACAGCAAGGATTGCAGAATGCTTTTGCTTTGTTGCAGTTACGGTATCAGAAGTGCTTAGTAGCCAGACCTCCTTCACAGAAAGTTCGGCCGCCCCCACCTCCTGCAGACTCGGTGACAAGAAGAGTTACAACTAACGTAAAAAGAGGAGTGTTGTCCCTCATTGACACTTTGAAACAGAAACGCCCGGTCACTGAGATGCCATAGCTGCATAAGAGAGAAGATTCTCCTAACATTTAACTGAAGATAACAGTGGCTACGCTAAGGAAAATGAACTGACGATGTCTGGCCTTCCATTTCAAATTGCTGATGCTTTGTCTTCAGAGAATTTACCCTTATCAAAACAATGTTAGACAAGCATGTTCTCTCATTCTTGCCACCATCGTGTGATATGAAAAGAAGCATGAATAATTTTTTCACTGTCAGTGAGTTCCATCATGAGCAATGGAAGGTCTGTTTGATTGTAAATACATGAACATTACCTAAACTCACACAAAAAAAGAATATGGCCACGTCCCTCTCAGTGAACTCGTGCTAAAGTCCTTGGAGTGAATGATGCCCAAGTTGATAGTGTCACCGTCTTGAGCTGGATTTGTCACAAACCAATCTTAAATCCTACAGCACTTTCCTCTGTTTTTGACACTGGAGTAGGTACCAAGTGTTAGCTACCATTGAATTACTGTAGATTAAATAGCAAGTTTTATTTTTCACAGAATGACACCTGTTAGTTTTAAATTGTTTGTTAGCATTGATCTAGCAACCACTTCAACATCTCCCTGACATGCTTTTGAATCATGGTGTCATTATTTCATCTCCTGGTTGTACATTATGGTCTTAGAGAAGAACCGTGTTTAATCCCAAACCAATGCTGAAAAATCCAGAAGTATTTTCAGTAATGGAGTTGCAGGGTGATCCACTGAAGCTTTTCAGCTTTAAACATACAAATGCAACTGTTGGCTGTTAAATTTATTCTCCTAAATCTGTCATTAATTCATCAAAAATAGCATTTGTTTCACGCAGGGCTCAAACCAATCAGGAGTAAGAAAGAACTAGTCAGTAATTTTATTGTCTTACAACTCTTATAGAGACTAAAATACTCCATACCTTTTCCATGCAAGTGTTTGATGAAATGTTCAATTCAGTGTCTAGTTGCACAATTCCCGCTTCCCCTCAAGAGTTTGTTGTTGAATACTTAACATGCCACAAAAAGAACAATCATGTTCCTTGTTACTTATAAAATTCCATCAAATTTCTTTTACTTTTAATGCTCTTGTGACAAAATAAGAAGAGAGTTGTTTTCTAACAGGGTAGTGCTTCAGGCAGTACAGCTTGATTTCAATGCTTTGGCTCCAAAGGCTTCATCTAATGGCTTTGATTTACAAACTACTGCAGACCCTGACCAAGTCGGGCCCGGTATTGCCCCTTCAAATTGTACCTCAGGCTAATTTTTAAATGCAGTTACACATTTTGAGTCTCTCCCTTTGCCATCTTCTGTCTAGACCTGCAGATTGGTACAAATTTTGGAAATGGAACATTGAAGATATTTTTAACCAGTGTTAAAAATGTTTTGCCTCCATTTATAGGTTTGTTCCAAACTGTAACTGTCTCCCAAGTTTGCAAATCTGCTCATACTGTAATTTTAAAAGAACATTGGCAAGGTTGTTATTACAAGAACTCTTTTTTTTATTTTACTATGCAAGAGCCTGTTATAAACAAACTAATTTTTATTTGCTTGTTTAAAGAAATTGATGGCAACACCTGGCCAAAGCAACTTAAGGAACTCAAGGGGAAAAGAATGATGATTCAAGAAATTTCTGCATTGAAAAATGCAGAAAAATCGTTAAACTAAACTCAGCGTGATGTATGAGCAAGTGTCAGGTGAAGGCTAGCTATGCAACAATCGTAATTAAATTTAGCTCTCTAGAATACCTCTGAAGAGCGGATCCTCCACCGATCTCAATCTCTGTCTGACTGCGATTCTGCACCCCCAGCACTGAAGCGATCGTTGCCCCTCCCAGGGCTCACATTCCTGCGGCCTCCCTTGTGCTCGCTCTGTTGCTCATACAGCTGGGGGAGAAGTTGCTTCTGCCAAGTAGGCAGGGAGAGCTGGAGGTGAGGGGGACACACAAACCCCCTGCTTTTAGCAATAGCACCAGTGCTTTAAACTGACCACGAAGCCAGATGGCAAAGCGCGGAGCAGCAGGTTGCATACATCCTTCTTCAGTTTCTGGTATTGATCATCCCAGTGACGTCTGCTAGGAGCAGTGTAAAAACTCACTTCCTATTGTGACTGCTAGCAGAATGTGGTGGCTAACAATGTACCTCCAGGTAGGATCGTGAAGTTAAGAGATAGAAGCTTCCTTATTGCTCATTGTGCTAGTGATTCAAACTTTGACTTTAGTTTATTTTAAATTACAGGAAATACTTTGACAGTGTCTTTTTAAATTTCCAGCTGGAAACTATAGGGTTTGGGATTTGCAACTGTTCTACAACAGTGAATTGTAAATGGTATAATTAAATTTTGTAGTTGCACCTGCAGAGTGCCGATTCTCCCCAAGAGAGATCCGGACTCTCTTTACGCTAAACCAACAGCTGGCAAACAGCAGCGTAATGGTTCTTCAACATCGGTGCTGTCAAAGCTGTGAGCAGCTAGTTAGCTTTCACTGGCAAAGGGTGTAATTGCAAGGAGGGCTGAGGAGAAGACAGAAAGGTATCTGAAAAGCCGTAGGTCACTTGCCAATATATGTTTTAAGAGTTCTACGTCTGTTAACAAAATGATGTTGATTTTGCAAATATTTAAGTAGTGTGCTTAACAGTCTGACTACATGTGGCCTTTTTGCTTCAGTAGAGCTCCTTATTCTCCAGAAGATTAAATATACAGCCAGGTGTTTGCAGAATCAGAGCCTAATATTGCAAAGCCCGTTATCTTCTGTTAAACAATATATTAAGATGCTCTTTTTACCATGGCCAAAAAAGTATGTATGGGGTATGTGTGTCTGAGCAGCTGCCACTGGTTTAGTTGATGTTATGGCGACCCTTCAGTTACCTATGCATTTTTTTATAATACCCTAGTGATTCTGTAGGCAGGCAGCCATGTTCACTATGCCTTGTATGTCCGATGCCATATTCTAAATTAACCTGTTAAATACAGCTTAAAATATTTTTATTTTATTTATTCTATTTTTACTGAAATATCCTGCATTATTATGTTGATGTATTGTCTTTACTGGATGTGCTCTTGTAACATTCTCCACTCTGTATACTATAGGTTGCCTAAAAAAAGGCAGACTTTGTAATTATTTGTAGTCACATTTTTATTCAAGTCTCTAGAAAAATTATGTAAAGCAAAGCTAACTTCATTTTTTTTTAATGCAAGTAGTAAGTTAGAGGTAAGTATCACATGTCAGTCACCTCATTAATATGCTCCCTTGCAGAAGCAAGATTTATATTCACAGTCAACGACAAAGAAAGGAAAGCCTTTCTTTTGAAATCTGCAGTGCTGGCTGTAGGTTTTATTTAAGCCACTTACTGTTTCATTTGAAGAGGAGCAAGGGAAGGGGGGGAGATACAGGGCTACGGAGGCCAACGACAGGGTGGTTAAACAGGAGTAACAAAAACTGCACAGAAGGGCACAGAATCCGTTCACAGTAAAATGCGCTCTTAGTCATATGCTCCGTGTGCGGAGTCACCTGTACCTATAGAAAGAACATGCCCTTTCCTGACAGAGGAACAAAAACTGTGGCGTATCTAATAGCTTATGCCAGTTCTGTGTCACTAAGAGTTCTACATCCCTTTCCTTTTAATTTTATCAAGCATTTCATAGATCATTTACCTAGGGATCCAAAATTGTTAGTAAATCACCCATAGAAAAGAGAACTTTCTTATTTCAACAGCTAATGTGGGCTCAGCCTTTCAGCATTACCATTAACCCCATTACTCCTTTCTTGGGCAGGTTAATCAATACATTGCTAAAACTTATGCTGTACAGTCAGCGAAAGCAGGTTTGATTTATTTTAACAGCAGTAAGAAAGAAGGGAACACACCCACTGTTTATTAGCGGAGTTCAGTCTTACACAAAGCACCTGATTGACACCAAAAAGGACAATTTTCCCTGCTGTTGACCACTTCACGTTTAAATGTAATCTGTTCTGAGAATAAATTTAGCTGCATAAAATGATTGTCTCAACTGTTACTGGTCCATGAAGCTGGGAAATTACTTATTTTGTTCCAAATTATGGTTGAGGGGAGGGAAAAACATACTGGTGGTTTAGAGGCAAAAGGCAAGGACACTTTTGTATGTGGAAAGGTGAACCAACAGTTTCTAGCTGAAAATTGCAAACACCTGACCGGGTTACAGAAAATCAGTTACATAAGGTACAGCTTGGCTCTAAAAAGTCATCGAGTGTTTAACTGAGCATAATTCTACCTGCAAGCCATCTGAAGTCAGTCCCAGATGTTGCCACCATGGGATATTTGGTGCTTACAAAGCAAGCTGCTGACCTGCAAAATCAAATTCTTCACTACAAGCTCTTTGATATTCTTGGTAAGACATCCAGATCCTGACTGGTTTAGCCTCTGTAACACTTCAAAGAGACAAACTCCTGAAAGCAAGATGAAGCTGACTGTGGGACATCATGAGGCGTATTATGTAAGTAGCCCAGAAATTCTGTCATCAGACACATCTATGTTCTTCTATAAGTAATTTTAATTATCTTTAATAATGAATGATAAGGATTTTTATTTTTAAAAAATAGTTTAGTTCTCTAACTGCAGAATCTCTACGTTTATTGTAAGCATTTCACAACCACATTGAAAAAAAAAACCAAAACAAAATCCCATTACTGTCCATTCCTTTTATCTAACATCTAGAATCTCTCCTCCTCCCTCCAAGATGGTTCTGAAATAAAATAGGGATTTATTTTTTTTTTCCCCCAGTTCTATATATTGCATGTGCACAGGTCTAGATCTATCCTTACAGGTTTGTTCAGAAACAAGAGCAGTTTTCATCCTTTTATTGGAACAGGTGAGGAGCAGGGGTTACTCACAGGGGTATGCAGCAGGTGAGTGATGCCTTTGAGTAGGACAGCTGGCTCAGGTTAAACTGCTAAAAGAAATTTTCAATGATTCAGTAAAGCAACGGTATTTATCTGATGAACAAAGCCAGCTGTCTACGCCACTGGTGTAGGATCATTCAGATCCTTTCTTCTAAAGGGTGGTGTGAGTGAGGAAAAAAAATAGAGATACTAAAACATTTTCTCTGGATGGGTGTAAATCCAGAACCATATGTCAAATAGGTTAAGATTCCATACCATAGCAGTTGACACTAGCGGCAATACTCTTGCCAAGTATCTTAAATGATCGCCTAGAGGCAAAATTCTCTTCTGGGCCACAGCTACCTTTGCCTTTCTGTATCGCTATGCTGTCTTTGTTTCATTTCTACAACACTTCTAACCTAAATACAATTCTTGAGGTTCCTCTTACTGTCATTCTGTCATTGTTTGTCATTTTCCTTCTTTATACTGTCCATATTTAATATTAAATCAGATTATT